ATCGGACCCCTTTTTAAATCAAGTATGCGGGGCATAAATTTAAGTACATGAGAGTTCATGCCAAAGCTCCTTCTCTAACAAAATGTTCTTTCCTCTCTCCATGGTGACTGCTGGGGCCCTGGATGTAAGTGCTCAGACAGGCATGTCCCCAACACATTTGCTGCCTTGCGTCACTAATGCGTGCCGTGTGGGATGTAAACTAACCTGGGTGTCGTGCCACACTGTGGGTGGCTGGCTCAGCCCTTGGCACTGGCAGATCTGTTCAGGTCTGTAAGGAGCTGAGACTTCCCCGCTCCTCTCCGCCTCCAGTGTTGAGCCCGACACTAACACATACAGTCCCTGTTGTGGGACCCCTGCCCTTAAGTAGAAACCATGACAGTTCAGTTCAGCCTGGGCTGCCATTGCTGGAGGGTTGGGAAGAGTGTAGCATGACCTCTTACGGGAGAGCCTGTACCCATACAAGTTCTCAGGGTCTTGGGGTCTTAGCCATTGCTAAAGCTGAGGACATATTGGGCCACGAGCCTATGCAAATCTACAGGAGTTTCCTGCCCAGCCACTTGTCCTGATCCTCAAATTGGTGCCACCCCTCAATGTGGCCAAGTTCAAGGTGACTTAGTTCTTATCATTCTGCTGCTTGTTCCAAAATTTTTATATATATACAAAGCCCTGGATTGATTCCCAGTGCTAAGAACAATTAAAAATAATAAAAAAAGTAAACACACTTGACGGTTGGACAGGGACCATCTTAACAGTTGGGCTATTTTTTTAGGTGGGGTTCTGTGTCACTTTCATCTGACGCTATTTCTGTCCTCCAGCCACCCACACTGGCCTCCTTTGCTCCCAGCCTCTGCCCAGATCAGGTCTGGCTTTTATTCCACTCCATTTCTAGGAGTCACAGGATCACAACTTTTCAAAATACAGTTCTTGTTCAAGGTTACAGTGGGGAATGTGCACAAAGTCCTGGTAGCAGCTTCAGTACTGAGATGGACATTGTTTTTTGTTTCTTTGTTTGTTTTATTCTGCTTTTGTGTCTGAGACAGGATCTCACACTATAGTCCAGACTAGCCTGGAGCTCACTATGTGGCCCAGGCTAACCCATTACAGTTTTCCTGCCTCGATTTCCCGTGGTAGGATTACAGACATGCATGCCCAGCTTCCAAGGTACTTCTTCTTATTGTTGTGCTTAATGTATGGTTTGGACATTCTGCCTTGGTGCACTCTGCTGGTGGACTGAGGAATTAGATACTCAAAAGATCCTGCTGTGTCTCTGGGTTATCTTCTGATGCCCATGACAACTGGTGTAGGGAAAGCACTGAAAACAGGGCTTAAGGGGAGCAGCACACACCTGTTCAGAGGCCTAAACTCAGCCAGTGCCCAACCCCATCCTCAGGATGCAGGTTTTTGCTGGGTGGAGCTGGCTAGGATGCCTCTGCATTTTTACCTTGGCTTGGGAGCTTTGGGTCCTGGCTGGGCCTGAACCTTATTCTTCCTCCCAGACAAGAGGAATGTCCTGTTTAGTGAGTGCCATGCTCCAGTGCAGGGCAGAGCTGAGTTCTCTGAGATAGCGACAGGCTTCCGGTTAGCTTATTGGTTGCATGCCCGGTTCTTCCTCCTAAGCTCAGGGGATATGAGGGATGAGCAGCCGCAATCCCGGAACGAGTCAGGAAGTTTTCTGCTAAACTGAGACAGTGTGGCCGACAAGAGAACCAGGGTATGTGGTAGAAGCTGCAGGGTGTGGACTCTAAGCATTACTTGGGGCTCAGGGCAACGAGGCTCTGGAGAGCCAGTGTTCAAGGAAGGTGGGGTTACTATTCTCGAGTTCAACAAGCTGATTCAGACAGGGGAGAACAAGAAGGCAACTATACTTGGAGTAAACAGACTGCGGGAAGCACAAAGAAAAGAAAGAAAAAAAATATTCTTTTCAAGGCAAAATTATGATGTCAGGCCCTGACAAGGCACAGCCCGCACAGCCGGCTCTCCACCCACTGCTCAGCTCCGCCAGGACCGCTGAAAGCGGTGTGTTCTCGTGCTGCCCCCTGCTGGCTACCGTCGAGCATAGCAGCGGAAACTGGAAAAGTTAGTTGCTGGCTCTGGTTTATTCCATACTGACTGCTGTAACATGGCAGCCAGTACTCTGCTTTTAGGCTGAACCAGTTCTGCGGCTGAATATGACTTCAGAAGCAGTAGCAAGGTATTCCAACAAGAGCTCAGGTTTCTGTCTGTAGACCTCAGAGTGGTGGAATCAGATGAGCTGTGGATCTCTAGATCTCCTTTCTGTGTTTGTGGATGCCAGATAAACTGGCAATGGGAATAGAATACTTTACACACTGCTTAAGCTAGGACATCCTGGCTCAGTGACATGGCTGCATTCAATGGGCCAACTTAATTCTGGAGCTTTGCCTGTGGTTCATTCAGGTTAGACTGAAATGGGAATCTTGCTGTCACCTAGGGGTGGAGTGGGAATACAGATTTTGTGTATATGAGGGCCCAGGGCTCTAGCACCAGGACTTTGAAATGAAGTCTGCACAGCTCAGCTTTCGCTTGTCCTTTGAGGTCTCTTGGCATTTTACACCCGTCTCTTACAGAATGCCTCGTGCCACAAGCACAGGGCACTGTGCTGTCCACACCGCCTGTGTGTACAGTTTAGAAAGCTGGGCATCACCCCTTGGGGGCCCAGCTTTTGTTTTCAGAGAAGACTATTTCCTGGGCACTCTTCCAGTGTCAGCTCGTGGGCGTACGCGTCAGGGCTTGGCAAATGTCAGAGTTAAGGCAGCATCTTCTTCTGTCCTCCTGGTGACTGTTCAGTGGCTTCTGGGCCACGTGCTGCTTAGTCTTCCCTGAAGACAGGGGGGCTTCTTCCGGCTGGGTCCCTGGCTGTCCTAACAGGCTTGCTGTGCTGTGTCCCTAATCCTGCCCTTCCTTGTTCCTTCCTGCACTGACCCTCCTCGCTGTACTTTGTCTCCTCTGTTAGATGGACATTAAGTGGTTGAGGGAGATGTCAATGAGGGTGGTGTGAAGTCTTGGGAGCCCCACCAGGTCCAAAGCCCACTGGCGTTTTCTGACGAGGAGGAGGAGGACCTGTTGGAGTTCATATACAAGTATAAGGCACCGAGGAGGACCGAGTTTCCCCTGGAGGTACATGGTGTCTGGGGGTGTGGGCTGGTGCACGTGTTTGCACTAGAGATCTGGGGGTCCTGAGAATGGCATCACGTGTGATCCCAACATTCTGAGTACTTAGGGGGAAAAATGACTTCCTTCCATTAAACCGGTAGGACAAACCGCCAGGTAGCTGCTAGCTGCCTGCCAATGCATGTGTGTATTTGCATACTTGGCACTATGGCCAGTTGTGGATGTAGACAGGGGTTTTGGCAGTGGAAGGACCATTCCTGGCACTCATAGGCTGCGTTCTGCAATACAGGTGGAGAGCCACCAGTCACAGGCTCAGGGAAAAGCCACTCGGTTCCTCTCTTGTTCTTTATCTAGCAAGCCTTCTGGTCTGAGGGCCCATTATGAGAAAGTCATGATTCCTGGCACACACAAAATTAAGAAGCCCGGTGAGAATCAGTGAGATGCTCAGAAACATTCCGCCACAAGTATGGAGGTTTAGCATTTTTGTTCACTCTCAGCTGGAAGCTACAAGCACCTCAGATATAGGTGTACCTCACATTCCTGTCCAAGGAGCTTTCATCGTTCCTCATATCTTCTTTCCCCACACTTCCTCCAGTGAAGGGATCAAAGTAGGGCCTCCCACAAATGCTAGGTAAGCACTCTACCACTGAGCTATGGATTAGTTCTGGACGAGTCTCACCTGCCTCAGGGCCTGGGAAACCTCATGATGGGGAGAGTTCACTCTAAATATCCCAGGGCCTTTTATTTGGGAAGGGGGGGGGTTCTCGTTTTGTAGTCCAAGCTGGCCTTGAACTCCCTCAGCTTTGAACGCTGGCCATGGACTCCTGATCCTCCTGCCTCTACCCCTAAATACTAGGATCAGCGGTGTGCACTTTTGTGGTTTTGTTTGAAGCTTTGCACACACCTCCCCTGCTTACTGTAATGTGAGTAGAGTACTTCTTTAGCAATGTATGAACCTTGGGTTCAGTGTTTCAGAATGGGGGAGATGAACGATTAGCCAGTGTGGAGCACATCTGCAATCTCAACACTGCACTTAGGAGGCTGAATCAGGAGGATCACAAGTTTGAGGCCAACCTGGGCTACAAAATGATCTCTCCACCACCCTGAGCTACTTAGAAAAACCTTATGTCCAATGAATGAGCAACACTAACCAAACCACTATGAGAGACAAAAGTAGCTGTGTGTGGCCAGGCAGAGGTCAGAGAGGTAAGGCATTTCCTAGACATGGGAGTTGTGGGCTGGTGCTCACGGGGAACAGAAATGTCCAGTCAGAAGGGACAACAGTGTGAAACGGCAATGGAGAGAAAGTTCTGTCCTTGCAGGGAAGCTAGGGGCTGGGGCCAGCTCTGTGAAACCCACTCGGTGGCATGCTAGGAGAGAAAGTCTTCCTTTTTCTTTCATTTCAATCATAATTCATCCTGTGGCTAGTGCCACCCTCAAAAGAAAAGGTCCCTGCAGGCATTGTTGGGGCGATGAGGTGGTGCTGGCCCTTGTGGCATGGCTTAGTGGAGAGTAAACGGTTTCATGTCCAGTTTGAAATACATACCAGAAAACAGTTCCCAAAGGAAATACAGAAATGAGCAATGGGCTGGAAATGTCTCCTGTCCAACTCCTTTGAAACAGGAAGGCATGCCATTCTGCACAGCCCTTCCCTTCGGACCCAGGGAGCTGTGATGGCCTTCTCAGGGGTCTCAGCCTCACCTCACATGATTCCTGTTGTGGGGAATCACAGCAGTTCTATCCCCCAGTTCAATCCCCCAGCTGGGGGAGCCAAAGAAGGTGATGCTCAGTATCCCAGGCCCAGATGCTAGCCCCCAAGATTCCACCCTCAAGCCGCATGGAGGACACCCTTTCTCTGCTTTCTCTACCAGGCACCGCCTAGAACCCTTCGATCCCGCTTCAAGAAGAAAAGTACCTCATCCTCGGCCACTGAGACCACATGAGTGAAATGAGCCAACAGCACCGGATCCACAGATGTCTCTCCTCTGCCTTAAAGAGCTAGTCCTAGTACCATGGAACCCGCAGGCTGGGTGTGCTTTGAGTGTGCAGCCTCACAGACATGGCCTTTACTCGCTCCCCTCTTCTGTCTTTAAGCATTTTCTGTTCTTTCTTCTTTGTTCCTGCTGGGGAGAGGCTAAAGGGAAAATGTGGTGGTGGAGAGTGACCTTTACGTCTTCTGGGGTTAGGAACTTTCCACAGTTGGATTGTCATTGTGGCCACAGTGTTTCTAGATATATAAGCACTCTTACCCTGATGCTGCTGAGATGTACATTTGTAATTTATTTGTTGCATAGTTTTTAGTCTTGTAAATGCAAACGAAGTGATCTTTTTTAAGAAACCTTTTTGTTGTTCTGGTACTAATACTTTGGATTATGTTGTGCATATTTACGGCTTTTGACTCAATGTACGAACTGGCAAAGGCTGCCAAAGGTTCTGGTGAGAGAGCTCCAAAAACAGGAACGTAGACAAATATTCTAGACAATGTCTCCAACCTGACAAAGCCAGTGCCAGCAGGAGGGCATCCCTCCTCCTGCAGGGGCTGTGTAGTCAGCAGAGCTGAGGGAGGAGTGCAGTGTTTCAGCAACTCGGAAGAAGGGTGGTGAGCGTCAGGGAAGGAAAGGAGGAACGGCACTCATCTCCTTGGGTTCATGATCAGATGCTCTGTACTGTCTCAGGCAGGCAGGCAGGCAGGCAGGCAGCTCACCCTCAGCAGAGCTGTTTGGGGTAGGGAGACTCTGCTGGCAGACTTACACAGTATCTCAGAAGCTGCTGGCAAGACTGTTTCTCCTTCAGGGACCAGTGCTGTGGCTGATTTCTCTAGAGGAGGAGCCTACATCTGAGCAACTAGAGGACACTAAGCAAAGAGAAAAGGCTAGAACTAGACTTTGTTCCAGGTGTGCTCAAAACACACGAGCCAGACAGCAAGGTCTGGGGAGGATTGAGGCGGAGATCCGCAGGCGGCTGTGGCTCTTGCTCCCTTCTGACTTGTGTGGAAAATGAATGGGATGGACTGACACTCATGCTCACCCTATGTCTTCCTGGATGTTTGATACAAGCCAGGACTGCACTGATAATTTTGACACGTGTCTGACTTAGAGGACACTGTGTTCTGAGGGAACGGCCCTCCCCTCAGAGCTGAGCCCAATTGTAGGGCTAGTCTCTGTGTGCTCAGAGTTGGTGTTTTCTTTCCGTGTACTGCATGCAGTGGCCACAACCCAGTTACTCGTATTTGGATTGTGTTTGTTCATAGCTGTGCCCTGAAGGATAGAGAAGTAGTGTTGTATACCACAGAGCTCTCAACGACTGCAAGCAGGCTCAATAACCGCCCCGTTACTCAGCTACACAAACGGACTGGGAAACTGCCAGTGCCCCACTAGCTGGGCCTTGGCCACTTCACGGAGGGTTTCAGTTGAAGTTCGCTGCTGCCAGAGACACCTAACGAAATTCTCCAAAGGTGACTTTGTGTTTTAGAACTAACCCTAAGGAACTAACCCAGAAGCTGACGACTGTGAGGGCCAACAGTCTGCCTGTGCCCCGAACCCATTTTAACCCATTAAGAAAGTGTCTGTCCTCTTCAAGCTCACCCAACAGCCCCAGGCAGGAGAAATGACGCCCTGTAAAATGTACAGGCCTGTCAGTTGGGTATATCTGGGATGGAGAGAAACAGGTGCAGAAAGCCTAACAGAAGCAGCTTTGCGGTAAGCCCCCCCCCTAATAAATGTCTTTAGGAACAGACTTTAAGTCCTATTATATTTTCATCATTTTACAATAGGAAGTCATAACACGTCTAGGCTATCGAGTTTGTACTCAGCTATGCCAAAACCCAGGTTGAAGCGCTCCTCATACATACTGTATCACTTCTTGCTCAAGATTTAAAATGTACAGGTATCTAAATTGTTGTCTTATTGTAAATGTAACTATTCAAGTGTCGACTAAGGAGAGGTCTCCTCTCGTAAAGACACTCGCTGTACAGCTGGACGCAGCCGTCTTGGTTCTCGGAAAATGTGTTACTTTTCCAGCAGCTGTGTATTTGTGTGTGGACTGACATGTGAATGCCCGTGCGTGTGGTGGTGTGGTGCTCTGTGTAAAGGACACACATGAATGTTTCCAGTTGGCTGACTTGGACACAGGCTGTTCACAAATTGCTAGCTCAAAGGCCTACTCGTCTCAGCCTTGAGCTCCTTGCCATGGAGCACATGCCGCATTTCCGAAGAGGTGAGATGGAGTCTCATGCTTTTCAACCGCAGATTCAGTCCTAATCCTCCTGACTTTGTGTGAATAGCTTGCTCACTGTGCTGGCCTTCGACATGTGTGTTCTCCGTGGTGAACTGTCCGTGTTTGTCTGTATTGCGAGTACTCGTCAACCACAACCATCATAGAGCCTTCCTGGTTCTTCACCTTGCACAGTATTTGAAGTGTCTGAAGTGGCGAAGATGTGCTTCATCGCCCGGCAGTGTGCACTCAGAGCTGATGTTCTGGATTGTGACTGTGCGCATTTCCTCTCACTTATTTCTAAGTCTCTCTAGAATGAGCTAATTAAATAGTTACTGGACTGTGTATCCAAGGGATGTAAACTGCAGTATTCCAAAGGCTAAAGCTCTGCTGTTTTGTTACAATGCCTGATAAACATCTTGAATAAAGTCTTAACATTTTTCTTTAAAAAACAAAAAAGTGTAATGTTGGGCTTATGAGAAAAGAAGAAATACTTTTTTAAAAAGATTTATTATTTTGGTGGTTTTTAAACAATTATTGACCTAGATCAGCAAGTCAATCCTCAGCGGTCCTAGTGGGGAGTACCAGGAGATATAGAGATAGGAAAGCTGTGTCTTACCCCAGACAGGTTTCTTAAGAATAAGAAGTACAACATCTTTTGTTGTTGTTTTGTTTTCCAAGACAGGGTTTCTCTGTGTAGCCCTGGCTGTCCTGGAACTTGCTCTGTAGAAGCAGGCAGGCCTGGAACTCACAGATCTACCTGCCTCTGTGCGTCCTTAGTGCTGGGATTAAAGGTATGTGCCATTACAGAAAGCCCATACAATTGGATGAACTCAGCAGGAAGCTGATCAAGCGGTGTTGCACCAAAGAAAACACAAGCTATCTCAAGTGCATCATAGACCAAGCACACATCAATGTTGGGACTGATAACTCCAGTCTTTTCAAGACCAAGTTCCCAGGAACCAAAACCTTAGCCCCTTTAAGGCCTTGGCCCCACCTCCAAAGCAGACCTTGTCAAGGTCTGTGTCCTTGGCAAAGACATAGAACTAGATTCCTTTTTTCCTTTCATTGGGGCCTCTGAGAAAGCTTTGGATTGGCCTGGCTCTCAGCAAATTATATGTATGTGTATGCCTGTATACACGAGTGTAGGTACCTGAGGAGGCCAAGAGGTTCCCTAGAGCTGGAATCATAGGAGGTTGTAAACCACCAGATGTAGGTTCTGGGAACCAAACTTGGGTCCTCTTTGCACTCTTAACCACTGAACCATCTTAACAATCCCACTTTAAGCTGGAGAGTTGGCTCAGAGGTTAACAGCACTGGCTGCTCTTTCAGAGGTCCTGAGTTCAATTTCCAGCAACCACATGGTGGCTCATAACCATCTATAATGAGATCTGGCGCCCTCTTCTGGTATATATGTAATAAATAAAATAAATCTTAAAAAAAAAAAAAAACTTTAAAAAAATGGGGGTAGGGTTGGTAAGATGGCTTAAGCAGAAAAAGTACTTGCCAACAAGCCTGCTGACTTGAGTTTAAACCCTAGGACATCCTGGTAGAAGGAGAGAAGACACTCCTTCAAACTGTCCTCTGACCTTTACATACACACTGTTGCACCCACACACACAGAGAGAAGGGGTCTAGGAATGCTGAGTGCCTCACTAACATGCACACAGCCGAGTTCCACACCAAGCACCTTACAAACCAGACATGGTGGGACACACCTTTAACCCTAGTGCTCAAGAGGTAGGAACAGGAGGATCAGAAGCTCAAGGGAACTCTCAGCTATATATAGAGACTGAGGCAGGCCTGTTTCAAAAATACAAAAGTAAAAATTGTAGGTATAAATTAGTTTAAAATGTTAAATGTGGAAGGTAACAAGGGTTAGAAACTGAGTGCTTGCACTCCCTGGAAACTTGGCCCATTCCCACTACATGGCATGACTAGGAGCTAAAACAGCACTGATATATGTTTCACAAACTCAGCTGCTGACACAAATATTACCCTCAGAGTGTCACTGTTGTACTGTTTTCAAGATCAATGGAAACTGGTGCCTGTGAAAATATAAGAAGTTCCCCAGTAGGCAGTTTTCCTTTTGTGAGCAGACCTCTAGGTGGCCATTTCCTTCTTGAGTGTTTTTCTTCACCTGCAAATAAGGGAGTACCTATGTAGGTTAGAACAGGCTTGCACAGGTGCAGAGCCACTGTGGATGATAAAAATGTTCTTAATGCGGCATCCCTTGCCTTTAAACTACAAGTGTCAGACACCAGGCATCACTGGTGTTGGGAGTGCTCGTTTAGAATGCACGAAGCATAAACAGGATGTGACAGCACATTCCTATCACCCACCCACCCACCCCAGAAGGAGCAAGAGGGTCAGAAGTTCAAGTTCATCTTCAGTTATACATGAATCTGGGGCCAGCCAGGGCCAAGACAGACTCTACCTCAAAAACTAACCAACAAACAATAAGATAGCTGGTTCAATTCAGGGTACCCGGGAGGCCACAAAGACCTTCCAGCAGAGTTACTCACAGTTCTCTTTTCTTTGTCTAAAATAAAGCAGTAGATTCAGGCAGCAGAGAACAGGAGGAAGAGATGGGAAGAAAGGCTAAAAGTCTAGTCATTTATTCACTTACTGAGCTAGGGCCATGCACCAGCAGTGAAGACAGGTAGAAGACGAAGTCACACACCTTCAGAACTGAACTAGAAGAGTTATGAAGTGTTTACTGCTAGTGTCAGATCCCAGGCATCTGTTGATTAAGACATGAATATCCTACGCTGTGAGAAATCAAAGGAAGTACACAAGATCCCAAGGGAGCTAGACACGTCAGTCTCATCAAACAGCAGGCATCATTTTTCCTCTTTTGTCTCCACAATGTGTTTTTAGAGAACAATGGCGAAAAAGGCTTATCCTTACATTCTGCAATGCATTTGCTGTATTTCGGAAATTAAGCCTCTATAAGCTTTAGTTGCCCCCAATTTATATCAGGGATAAATGGTAGCTCTTTCATAAGGTTGGCATGAGGTCCAGCAGTTTTACAGATATGCTCAAATCGAGCAAGTGTTCAATAAATCACATGTGGATAAACAAGTATGCATATCCTTGAACATCATTCAGGCAGGCCTAATGCAAAGTGCTTTACTGTCAAAATAGAAACTCAGCTTTGAAGAAAGGCTCCACTAGCCATAAACAAAAGCTGTTTGTATGAAACTCCTTTTGCATACACAGTGTGCCTGCAGCCTGCTGCCCTTCTACTTCAGCCCGTGTTTGCTGGTCCTTCTCTGTCTAGCCTGTCCTTGGCCACAGGCAAGTGGGAGGGCAGGGGTAGGAAAGGGCCCAGGTGCTGAGGCCATGTAACAGACCCGAATCATCTACATTGACTCTACAGGAGTACAAGGCTGGACAGTCTTCCTTCTCAGCTTCTGCACCAGCTCTTCCCAGTGCCACAGCTGTACGAGAAGCCGGAGCTGCGCAGGCGAGGAGATACAAAAGCCTCCCAGTGCTCAGCTTCTGCCACTTCAGGAGCGTGAACACAGGAAGAGCCAGCAGAACAGAAGACACTGGGTGTACGAGGTGCTCCAGTGCACATCCGCTCTCCATTACCTGGTCCCACAAATACATCCATACTTGGCCTTCTGGTTTCCTGACATTCTCCATCGCTCTCCATTTAGTGAACACACCCCTGCTTCAATGAATGGCCCTCAAATTCCTAGCCTGACATGCCGTAAAACCCCCAATGATTATCTTACTCTACTAAATGGAGGAATTTCATGTTATCATCAACAGATTTCAAATAGTAATTTATTTAATGAGAGCTTGCAGCTAGGCAAGCTCATTTGTTTAAAGATGCTTCCAGATAATTCTAGTGTGAGAGCTAAGAGTCACTGTCTTAGACTGTAGCCATCACTTGCCACTCGTTAGGCCTGACCCTGCGTAGATTTGAGAGCAAACAAAATCACGTGCATTCGCGGTGAAATAGCCATGGAGTCATTATTTCTAAGATGAATTATCATCCATTCATTGTTGCCCTTCGAGCACAGCTGGCGGCACATTAGTCTCATCAAATGACAGGTATTACTTTCCCCTTAGTTTCCACAGTGCATTTTTAGAGAATTCTGGGAAAAAAGCTTATCCTTATAAATAAAAATAAGAAATCTTAAGTGGATACACTTTAAAAAATATATATATAGTGCCTCTGAAAAACCGGGCAGAGGGCTGGAGAGACAGTTCAGCATTTAAAAATTGGCTGTTCTTGCAGGGGACCCTGGTTCAACTCCCAGCACCCACATGGTGGCTCACAACCATCTCTAATTCCAATGCCGGTGGACCCAACAGCTCTCTTCTGGCCTCCAAGGGCACCAGGCTCCAGGCACATATGTGTATGTGCACATGCATACACAGAGATAAAACACTCATACATTAAAAACAAAAAGTTGAAAAAAAATTGGGCAGAAATTTATTGCAGAGCTATGTGTTTCAAGAAGGGTATCTGTAAAGGTGATTTACTTATGAAAAGTACTTTTTTACAATAAAATGAATGATAACAGTCATAAACACGAAGAACCCAGGACACGGGATGAAAGTGCACTGCTACCCCGTGTTACCTCTAAGCATAATAGCTAACAACTACTTTTTGACTTCATACAAGCTGGCTGATACAACTAAGAGAGCCTGCGTGAGATCCTGACCCACGAACAGGCAAGCTCTCCACTGCATGGTGGCATGGATTAAGAGTACAATTGAAAGGTAAGCTGGCCCGCTTAGCGTCCCTTGTCAGTTACAATAGATGAGATAACAGAGTTGATGGTTGTAATGGTTCAAAGGTTCAAGATGAAGTCAGTCTGAGGGAGCATAAACTTTACATAAGCAAAAGCCAAGCTTAAAGACTGATGGTATAGAGCCCCACACACACGGTAGAGCCAGGGCATGAAGTCCCACCGTCTCCTGCTCTACCCAATCTGGCCTTCCCAAAGCTGGGGTGGGGCAGTTTCACGTAGGAGATCAAACTGTGAGGTGTCATGTTGGAAACTGGCATCCAGGATGTCTGTTTAGCATGGACAAGGTCTGGATACAATCTCAATCCCACAAAAAGGCCCACTGTTTTCAGTGTCTTTTTATATTTTTCCTCACTTGAGATTCCTTGAAACTAATGGGAATGAGGAAAGCTATTACCATTTGTTGGAAATAATACACAAAATTTTTAACTTTTAGTTCCATGACCAATGCACTGTTTAGTGTATTGGGTTTTAAAGCACAATGGGATATTCTATGCTTGCCTATCAGTTGGTACAGTTTACAGTTTAACACAGGCTCACTTTTACACAAAGATCCACATTCCATAGCTGGGAACCTATGAAAGCTCTGACCTATACTCGCAGGTTCGTTCGATCATGGTACATCTGGTACGGATCACCAGCGTACCAGTTGCGCCTCTTCCAGAAAGATGTTGTCATTTTATCTAGGAGTTTACTCTGGGTCTTGTTGCAGAACACAAATTCCCTCAGGCGCTTCTTTCTTGCAGTTGACTTTTTCCATAATGCTTTCTTGTAGCCAGCCTATAAGATAATGTTACAAAGATATTTTAAAACTTGCAAAGGCAACAGCAGATACTCCATAACTTATAGTGGAGAGGCTCAAGGAGCAAAGCCAGACCTCCAAGTTTTCTCTAAAAACTTTGCAATGAGTAGCAGATAAAAAAGCATGTGAGAGGCTGGAGAGATGGCTCAGAGGTTAAGAACACTCGCTGTTCTTCTGAAGATCCTGAGTTCAATTCCCAGTCAACCACATGGTGGCTCAGAACCATCTATAGTAAGATCTGGTATGCAGGCAGAATGTTGTATAAATAATAAATAAATCTTTAAAAAAAAGCATGTGAAGAGTTATTACTAATTGAAAACTTTGGAAAGATTACTTAAACTCAGGAGCTACATGTGGGGGTACACACATGTAATTCAAGCACTGAGAAGACTGAGGCAGGAGAACTGAAAGCAGAGAGCCAGGCTCAGCAGCACACACTACTTTTCCAAGGACCTGAATTCAAGTCCAGCACCAACACAGGTGACTCACAACTACCTCTAATTCCAACTCGCCAGGGCCCAAGGCCTCTGGCCTCCATGAGCACATCACTCCCATGTACAGACCCACATATACAAGTAACTGCAAATAAAATAAACCTAAGGCAGACTGGTCTCTGTTGAGTTTGGGGCCATCCTAGACTACATAGGAAGTTTCAGGCTAGCCAGGACTACATAGTAAGACTTTGTCTCAAAGAAACAAATCTTTTAAAAATAATAAATAAATAAATAAATAAATAAATAAATAAATAAATAAATAAGCAAGCAAGCAAGCAAGCAAGCAAGCTAGTTGAGGGCCAGCTCAGACTATGGAGCAAGGAAAAAACAAAAAAATGGGCCCTGGAGATGGGACGGTGGGCAAAGTGCTTGTACGGCAAGAAGCAAGCAGGAGCTCCTGGAGTTTGGATCCCAGAACTTATGTAAAAGCTGGGTGTGTTAGCGGACACCTACAGCCCCAGTGCCGGTGGGGAGAGACAAATGGATCCCAGAACTCACTGGTCAGGCAGGCTAGAAAAATTGGTGAGCTACAGGTTCAGTGAGGAAGGCTTGTCCCAAAAACCTAAGGAGCTGGGAGATGGCTCAGGATACACAATGCTCTTCCAGAGGACCAGCACCTGCGCTGGACAGCTCCTAGCTCCACCTTCAGGAAGATGGGATGCCTCTGACCTCAGCAGCACCTCCATTCACATGCACAGGACACAGAACAGAAAATGAGGTTCTTGATAAGGAACCAAATCAATGATCCTCTCAAGCCAAAGGCTCTGTATGGCACCAAGTAAGCTGAGCAATGACATGGCTCTTCACTGACAAGTGTGCTGGGATTGTAACACATCTCAGTGCCTTCCTTGTACCCAACAACTTCTGTAGTACAGGGATGCTCGGAAGGAAGGAAGGAAGGAAGGAAGGAAGGAAGGAAGGAAGGAAGGAAGGAAGGAAGGAAGGAAGGAAGGTGATTGAAGAAACTGGTTTTAAGGTACTAGAGATTATATTTACACCACTCACTCTTACATCTTTAAATTCAGAGGCTCTAGCTAAATTTTCTCTTTAATTCTCCCTTTTTAATTTAAAATATTATCTCTTGGTTTAAAAAAATAAAAATAAAAATTATCTCTTTAATAATTTTCTTGTCCACAAGGTCACTGTGGATGTCATATTTATAGAGTCCTAATTTTACTGTCCTGCTCATTACTGCTGGTATCCTTTAAAGAAGTCTCTGTGGAATAGGAACACAATGAAAACGCTAGAAACCTTAGTTTCTAGGTCAGAAGCAGAAGCAGGGAATAAATAATAAAAGTTAGGAACACCAGGAAGAAACCATGCTACACAAAATACTCCCTGGTTTTATAATTAGTATGAGTTATCCCACCCAGACTTTAGTTTTCCTATAAACTAAATTCTGATAGGGCTGGCAAAATGGCTCAGATAATAAAGGTGCTTCTTTCAAGCCTGATGACTTTCTGGGAACCTTCATCTTCTGAAGGGGAAGAAGCCCCCACACCCATAGAAGATGAAAGGAGAGACTGACTCCACAGAGGTACCCTCTCAACTCCAAATGCATGCTGTGGTATGCCGCCTACCTAATAATTACATACTTAACAAAGTGAAGACATAAAATTAGATTCTGATGAAGCAGGACTTTCTGCACAAGACACAGCTGGGGTGAGTACTGCTAAAAAGTTGATCAGGTCTTCTACAGGAACAAGTGTTCCAGAGCCCAATAGGGACATACAGGGGCTAAAGAGATGGCCCATGGATTAAGAGCATTTGCTGTTCTTGCAGAGGATCCAGGTTTGGCTCCCAGAACCCACAAGACAGCTCACAGTCAACTTTAACTGCAGTTCCAGAAGACCAAAAGCCATCTTTCAGCTTCTGCAGGCACCAGGCATGTACACAATGCACATACACGCATGTGGCAAGCATTCATACGCACAAAATAAACATCTAAAAAAACAAAAGGGCCAGAGATGAAGGAAAGAAAACCACTCACTTAACACTAAAGGATCTGGCATACTAAAGGGAGGAAACTGGCTAGAGGGGCGGCCCAGTGGTTAGACCTCCGGCCACTCTTGCAGGGGACCCGGGGTTCAAGTCCCGGAACCCAGACAGCAGCTCTCAGCCGTCTATAATGAGATCTGGCGCCTTTTGCTGGTGGGCACGTGCATGTGCAGGCAGAACGCTGTGCATACAATAAATAAATAGTACATAATACATAAATAATAAAATAAATAAAGGGAGGAACCTATTTCTAATACTCCAAATGAGCCATCAGAACTAGAGTGCAGATTCTTCTGACTAGAAACTACAAGGCCGTCTTGGTGGAGAAATGAGCTGAGTTTCTTCCTTTCTTGTTTTTTTTTTTTTTTTTTTTTTTTTTTTTTTTTTTTTTTTTTTT